TAGATCATTTTTAAAAAAATTATTTCTAAACTAAATTAAAATAAATTACATAATTAATAAATTATTTATTAAATTTATCCTAAATAAATTCCTCCTCTTTTTTTGAATAAATTGTCAAAAAAATAAATTAAAAAAAAAATACATCTCAAACTTACATACTGCCTAGTTGGCCGAAGAGCCAAGTGCCTCCTCTGTTACATACAAAAAGAGAAAGAAAGGGGGATGGGGGGCACTCCGATCTGTTTGATTCACTGGTAGTTATCTTTGTCAGATGATATGATGGGATCTCCAACAACTGCGTGAAGGGTAGTTCAGGTTACTTAATGCAAATTTAGAGAACTTCAAAGACTCACCACCTGTTCGATGGAAAACCACACAAAATCGATCCGCATTTTCAAGCTTATGCATTGAATGTTCGCTGACCCAAGACAGGTGTTCATTTCATTTCTCTATCTTGGCTGTCCATGCATGCATGATTAATTTCTTCATTATGAAAAGCAAACGGCATAGGCAGATAGATCCCTTACCCTCTTTTTTTTCTTGACATATATAAATTTGGAGAGTGATTTGAACCAATATTTAAAAGTTAATGATGTACCTTTTATAAAGATTTAAAGTTTCAATTACTTAAAAGGTCATGTGCGATCCCTTTCTTTCGATCATCAACTTAAAATCGCTGTTCATGGCATTTAGATTTTTGACTCTAGTGACGTCAAATCATTTTTAAGTGTTTTTTTTTTTTTTTTAAATAATAATTTTAATTTAATTTCTTACAAAATTATTCAAAAAAAATTGCTATTAATTAAGAAATTAAGGCATATGGTACTTATCAGGCTATGTATAAAAAAGTCGGTAGGAATAAGGTTTGTTTAATTTTGTGTCTTAAAAATATATTAAATTTGTTTTTTTAATCATAAATTGATGTTAAAAAAATAAAAATTAATTTTTAATTTATTAATTATTTAATAATATTAAAATTAATATCAATTTTAATATTTTTTTTATTTATTTATGAAAAAAAAAATACTTTTAAGATAGACGTTAAAAAAATTGGTATAAATAATTACAGCAGATGTGGGAGGTTAGTGTTTGGTGTTGCTAAGTTGTGCTATTCTCTCGTGGACAGAGTTACAGCTCTAAACTGGGGGCCTCGATCGAATCGACAGGTCGAAGTTTAAAATAAAAATCACTAGCCGTTTTGTTGTTTTTTTTTTTAATAGGAGTAATAATTAAGAATTAAAAATTAAAAATTAAAAATTAAAAATTAATATCTTATTTTTTTGACAAAATTCGATCATCGATCAACGTACATTCCACCAACAACCTTTTAAAGTACCGCTGAACCAACAATAGGGATTGTCACTAGCCGTTTTGTTAGCTAGCAGTTAAACATCCTTTTTGTACTACTCTTTCGCAGTCAGCTATTCCTCAAATGTCAAAAGCATTGGATGAATTAGAGTTCGTACTAATTAGATAACTGTCCCTTTATATTTGAAAATATCTTATTTTTTTCTATATGTTTGATAATAATAGGTAAAATTAATATTTATCTATT